TGCTCACTTTAGTATCAAATTTTGACTGATTCCGATCAATAAACGTCTTAAAAGATAGCATGATTCTATCAGTATTACTTGATGCCGTTAACGTGTTGAATATGAACACTGATACTCCAGGAAGGTAGGAGGATGAGAAGAAGTGAAACGAAAAGAGAGCAACACTAAAATCACTAAAAATTAATGAGAATACATACAATTGTACATGTACATATGTACTTAATCTGCCAAAATAAACTGTACTAAATGGATTCTTCCCTTCCCCTCTCTCTCTCTTCCATTACTGTACAATACATATACATGTGTACATGTACATGTACCTCTTAGCCCATTCACATATGTTGGTCATCTCTTTAGGCATGTTCTCCTTTATTATGTTATCTTCTGACAGTACACATAATTCAGACCAATGATACTATAAGAATATAGTTACATATACTGTACAGTGGGTATATTCTGTCTGAGTTTAATTTCGTTCTTTTCGTTCTCATTCCTTGTAGAACGAATATTTTCCAAACGAAAAGGGCGTTTCCTCAATGCCACGTGTGCAAAATGGCTGCTCAGAACGAAAATAAAACGAACGAAAATTTCTAATCCTGCTTAGAACAAACATTTTTCCAGATGAAATATACCCGCTATATGGTACATGCATGTACACGTTATAGATAAACTATAGATGGATATACAGGAGGATGTTAGTTAGTTGATTAGAAGCGGAGGCTATAGTACTATCAAGTGCTATAGTGTGTACTCTAATAGTATGTGGGTGAATCGGCTGTTAGATGATCTACTAACTACCCCCCCTGTGATCTACACTATATATACTCATGGCAGTGCTTTTGATACACACTACCACACACTATAGTACAAATACATGTATATGTACTTTCTTACTAATATTGATGTTAAAAGTATTGGACATTTTTCAAGAAAAAGTTCGGCTAAAGACCTAATAATTAATAACATTAACAATAATAATAATAATAATAATAATACATGTACCATAATGAGGGGGTCTTGTCCAAACTCTGTTTGAGACCCTGTTAAATATAAAATTATTATTATTATTATTATTTAATTAATTACTGTAATTAAGTGATGAGTGACATCAAGTGACAATACAAAGTCTACATTAATATGGAGCAGCTAAAAGGAAACTAAAAATTAATTTAAATTGAATTATTACGTACCATATTTTCATTAATAAACCGTGCTAGACTAATTAATGATTCTTCCGTGGGCGGAGTAGTGGGTGTGTTTGCAAATACGAGATAAGGCGGCAGTCTTAACATTAAGCTACAGTACAAAAATTAAAAGATTATCAATAAAAAAATTTATAGGATCACCTCATAAAATTTTGAACCAGTTTGATCTTGTGCATCTCATTATCGTAATTCTAAAAATAGCAACGTAAGATGATATGACATCATACTCACCTCAAGTATGACGGCAAATGAATTCATTAAAAGTGGGAGGGGCCTCTCAAAAGTAGGTGTGGCCAAGCCAATCAACTCCTTTACAGTAAATATACAGAAATAAAAATGGCATAAAATTAAACGCTTAATTGTCTTCTTCGTCTTACATTAATAAGTTGTATTGATTCAAATTGATTATTATTGATGGCTACTCTGATTGACTCTAAGAGGTGACCGGAGCAGTATCTCATTTGCAACAATAGGACACTACACAAAACCAGCTCAACCTGTTTGACCACTGGTATACTTGATAATGCCACTCTTCTAAACCTTCTCCTGTGACAAATAAAAGAGAGAAAAGAGAAAGAAGGAAGAAGATAAGCGAGAGAGAGAGTGGAGGTATTCTACCTTGCTAATGGTGTTAGAAAATCACTGCTAATGTCAAAGGACAGCTCCCATGGTAACCACACGCTTGGATCAAACTAAGTGACAATAAATAAACAAACAAATAAATAAATAAATAAATAAATAAATAATGTACTTTTGTTGTCTCTATTATCTGTGACATTATTGGTATTTCACGTAAACTGTCAATCATCTTTATTACATCAGATACTAATACAACAAAGGTTATGTTTGCAAAGAAACTGGTTTTGTTTAGTCTT